GGGAATTACCTCAAGGCTATATCTAATCAGAACTTAAATACTTATATTATCGTTCATTGATTCTTTTACGGCCTCCATTATTTTTCTTACATATTCCCAAAATTTCTCTTTATTGCTTAGAGCATTTTTGTTTTTCGTTTTCTCTACCTTTCAAATAGCACCTCAATTTGTTATTCTTAACACCAAATCCTTTTTGCATATTATTTTGTTATTCCTAACCAGTGCTACACCCCCACCCACACCAGCCCCTTTACCCAGGCAGCCCTGCTGTCAGCCCTACTGTCAGCCTTCCATCAGCCCCAAAGCCTGCTCCTGCTCCTGCAACCCTCCTTCCCTCTGCCATTTATTTGTTACGCCTTTAACACATTTCAAAATTCACAATTCAAAACGTGTTAATTAGCAAGGGGCGTGTGGGTGGCAGGGGGCACGAACAAGTGGCAGGAGGAGGCATAGGAGTAGGAGGAGAAACTTCTCCACAAATGTGTTAATGACTAGGCGTGGTAGTCCACCCGCCCAACCGCCCGCCCAACCCGAAAGCGCGACTTTAATTTCCGCGTCGCCTTCTTGAGTTTTGGATGTCAATAAAATTAGCATTTTCTTTTGTTTCTATTTTGTTGTTGTTGTTTTTGTTTTTGTTGTTTCTCTGTTGTGTGTGTTTTCGCCCTGTTTCACAAATTAAACTGTTTGGGGGGCGTGGCCCCGCACATTACGCAACTAAATATTCATGCGAATTGCTTGAGAGAGTGAAGTCGCCTCAAAATTCCAGAGGCCTCGTTTTTGTTGGTGTACCACACCCCACCCCCCAGCTACCTCTGGTATTGATGGCTGGAGCGGCCTCAAGGGTGCCGTCATAACTATCAAATTACCCAAGAATATGTGCCACAAAGGCAAGAACGAACTCTACGACAAGATCATAAAAAGCCACTGCATATGGTACTATGGAGTGTAGCTTTGGGAGAGAGCGAGAGGAGACAGGGAAAGGACTTAAGTTTTAAATATTTTATTGTAATTAAGACGCGAAATTTCTCCCACAGGGCTAAAAGCGAGCGCGTTAAAATCAGTGGCAGATGCTGTGCCAGCAGAAATATATGCAGGATGGGGGAAGGATGAGGAATACCATGCCAAATTGTATTGTAAATAATATATATACAAAAATATATATATATAAATATACTATGCCAAAAATGGATATAGAAAAACGAAAATCGCAGTCTGAAAACCTTCTGGCACTGGCTATTAAAATTCCTTTTAAAGTAGGATTAATTCTATGCTACAAGTTAGTAAGTAAATAAAATAAAATTTACCATCGAAACTTCTCTATAAATAAAACCTACTCAACCTACCTGATCTTTACTACAGTTTGCAATATTTTTTTTAATTTTTATTTATTTATTTATTATTATTATTTTTTTTTATCAATTGAAACACGTGCAAATATTTGTTCTTCATATACTCATAAGCTTCTGGTTAACACTGCCACTGCTGCCTCTGCTCCTCTCTCTCCTGCTGCCTCGTCTTCTCTCTCTCCTGCTGACTCTTCTCCTCTCTCCCTCTCCTGTTGCATTTTGTGTGTGTGAAAATAAGAAGAAAATTCGTTAACGAACCTTTTGTTTGGCTTTTGTTGCTTTTGGAGCTGATTTCCAGCCGCAAGTTTTTTGCCCCTGCTTCTCTTTATTTTGGGAGGGGCTCTGATGCACTGCTTAACACATTTTGTTTGGCCTCGTTGTTAATTATGCAACAGCCTTTTGCTGTCTGTTTTTTTTTTTTTTTTTTTGAGTGGTGGTATCCGTGTCCATAAGTATCCGTCAGAGCATAGGCAAAGGGGGATGGATCCAGAGGATCCTTGCATGGGGAAAGGAGTTTCCAAACTAAATGAAAACTGTCAAATGAACCGCAATTGTAATTGTGTGTGTGCGTGTGCGTGTGCGTGCGTTCTTCTGCACAGTTTTCCACATTGCATGCATGTTGTTGTGGCTTTGCCTCTCCACTGGCAAAATGATGTGTGCCATGGCACACAAAAACTTTCACCTGTTAATGACATTGCACAAGCACACAAAGCGACAAACACCGAGACACGAGACACGAGAAGATGAAGAGGACACCGAGTGGCGCCACAGCATACAGACAGACAGACAGAGAGACAAACCAGAGATCTAGAGAAGCCCCGAACCGTAGTCAGACCTCAGACCCCCCCCCCCCAATCCAGTTGGCAGACTCAGCAGAGGAAAGCCCCAGCCAACAGCAGAAGCCAACTATTCTCCTCTTTTTTTTTGTGTGTGTTTTTTTTTTTTTGCATTTTGTTTTGGGCAAAAACTTTTGCTCGAAAAATTGTTCAACAACTAAAACTTTAATTAAAAGTGGAAAATGTATTATTAAAACCAGAAATAAAGAGCAAAGCAAATGGATCATCAAAACTTAAGGCATTAGACGAAGTGCCAAATACACTAACGTCTGCGAATACATTTTTGTGGAGAGAGAGAGAGATTAGAAGAGATATTTAAGATCTGCATAGGTGTTAGATAGGGGAACATCTGGCTACCACACGAGCCACTAGAAAGATACTCGTGGGTTGGTGATTATATATCTATTTATAACAAAAAATATGACAGTTAAGGGATTTTTCTTCCAGGAGATATGTACGCTTAAAAATGCCTTGACAATATGTTTTCCGGGGCTGCCTTTACCCAAATATTCCTGCAAGAATTTTAGGCGAAATATTCACAGAATTTCCTTACGATTGCGCAGAAGAATGCTGAGAATTCCATGTAATGATAGATCTTCTTAAATATACATAAATAAAGCTGAATAATGGTTTAATTTATTGTTCAGATAATTGTATTGGTTCTCAAAAGGAATGGAAATATAGGAATAGTGTTCTATTTATCATATAATATATATACCATATATATATATATGCTATACATACTATATATCATGGACAAACTTTTATTGTACTAGAACCCTAACTTATTTGACTTATTTATTTAATTTTATTTATTTATTGTTGTAGCTTATATTTAACTTTGGTTTTTTTTGTAGTTAATTTGCATAGCATAAAGCCATAAACTCTGTATATTTCTTAACACTAAAACCCTACCAAAACCTCAACTAAATCTTGCAGCATTCACAAACCTCTTCAGTAATCCCAGAGAACCCCCAGAGAAGCCGCCCGCTGCCTGGTGCATTTCCATTGTCCAGTGTTCCATTTGGCAAGGAATCAGAATATAGTTGCTATAGTTTTCTTTTACCCCCCCTCCCTCTCTCACTCTGTCTCTCTCCCTTCCTCTATGCCTCTTTCACCTACAGACATTTTGTGGGGCAAACCAGCTGGGTGGTAGGGTGGGGGGGTTATGGGAAGTGCGTGGACATTGATGCAATTGCAATGTGCATTTATTCAACTGTAAATCAATAAATTTTAATTAAAATTGCAGCCATACGCAAACGCATGGATGACCCGACGACCCAATCACCCACAGAGTCGAGTCGGTTGGGCCCGCGCTGTGCGCTGCTTCTGGGCTGTGTCGTACACGGATATATCGATGGATATATGTCGTACACATTCCCCATGATACATATCCGTTGTCACACACGCACACGCACACGCACACTGATAAATGAAACATCAAAATTTTGGGGCAGCGTGGCAAGCAGCAGGCAGACTGACAGAAGGGGTGGGCGGGGTGGTCGGGCGAACGACGATCCTGGAAGCGATGACCAAAAGCTCATAATGCGCATTTCCGCTTTTCGGCCGCTAAGCCCCCCCCCGCTCAGCATATAATTTGACAAGGTCGCATCCGCACTGGAAACTGCCTTCCCTCCCCCCCCGCGCTGCCCTACCCACTGCCCCCCTGCCCAATTGGTGCCCTGATAATTTCGTTATGCATTTCGATTTCGGCAATTGGCGATTTGTGATTTTCGATTGGAGTTAGATGGCGAATTTGCCGATTTCGATTTGTGATTTGTGTGTGTATTTTGTGTGTGTGTGTATTTTGTTTGTGTGCGTGTGTGTGTTTGGTTCGAATTGCAGCTACAATTACGGACATACGCTCTCCATGTGCAGCTCAGCTGATGACACCCACACACACACACACAGCCCATTTGCATTTGCATTTGCATTTCCATTCCATAGTTGCCCCTTGAGGCGTTAAAACTCTCTCCAAGCCACAAGGAATTCTCTGTGCATTCTGTGTGCATTTTTGTATTCAAGGATATTTTCGTATTTTCAACAGCAGAGCACAGCATTTCCGTTACGAGGAAAATAAACTAAATTTTCATTGTCGTTTAAGTGGACTGTTCTTCTTCTTTCAGACGATGTGGAGCTACGTATTTGATTTTATATGGAAAATAGACATATTATGTAGTATGTGAAGTGAGAATTGTGTGGTACACAGAGTAAATCCATTAGCGCTGGAAAATGAATGCTAAAACGAGAAATTTTGTTAACATATTTACTTATATTTATATATATTTATTTTGTTGTTTATTTATTATTATTATTTATTTATATATTTATATTATTTATATTTATATATTTATTATTTATTTATTATTATTATTTATTTATATATTTATTTATTTATTTTATTATTTACTATTATTATTTATTATTTATTTATATATTTTTTGCATTATTATTGCACGTCGAAAAATTAACTTCATTACCATTGTGGATTGGTGGAGTATGTCTTCGAGATAATGAGTATATAAGAAGTACATAGCATATACATAGCATATGTGGGATCGGGTTTAGTGTAGTGTATTCCGATTGAAATAATAAAAGTCCCGGCAGGTTGCTTGGAATGTATTTAGATTTAATGTTTAAATTGTATGGTTTGGATTATAATTATATATATAATATATTATATATGTATATGTGCATAAGATATTTGATTAATATAAATCGTTGTTTCGTATTTTCGTCTTGATTTCTTGAGAGCATCGTTTCTGCTGCTTACCATACCCCTCCCACATAAGCCATAATAATTTTGATATTCATATCGAATTAAAAAATCGATTTATTCCATTCGATTTATTCGTCTAAATTATTATTTATACAGAAAATTGATGAATAGATTATTTCTTGCATTTGGACTCGCATGCTATTTGGGATGGGAAATGATTTTCGTTGCCACCACACCCACCATATATGAACACTTTGCAAGTGTTCGAGTCGGGATAATAGGTATAGGTGGGCATGTAGGCTAGGCACACCAACTTACCATGTCCGTCTGCGGCAGGCTTTTGACCACAGACCGCTAAACGAGACATTAAGATATGTTATTTGTGATATATCAATCAATTTCATTTAACTCACGATCCTTTAGGCCAAGAGCAACGCCAAACAGGGTCAAGATAATGCCAGCAATAGAAATAAAATTCATTCTCGTTTTGGATTGTTGCTCTGTTGATCTTCCAGCTGATGTGAAGCTACTACTAAAATTATTTTGTTCATATATATACTGGTCAAGCAAGTAACGAACCGAAACGGGAATCATTAAGCGAATTAAATTGATTCAAACTTAATATCGGAACCGAGCACGGATATACTTCAAACCGACCAGTGTGGAACCATGACCTAAAGACACTGTGGCCTGTGCTGGAAGCTTTCCACGAATTTCAGTTTCAGTAAAAAAGTTTAAATTTTCAATTGAATATATTCTTTTATTTGTATTTTTATTTTATTACTCCTTGCATTTGTCCTCGCATTGTTTTTTGGTTATGAAATTATTTGCGTTTATTGGACATCCATTGAATATGAACCTTTTGCACTGTTTCGTCTCGGGATAATATGAAAAGCGTGGCTCATAGGCAACGCAAGCACCGTTTGCGGCCGGTGCTTCATCACAAATCGCTGCAAGAACGCAATTTTATTGGGATGAAATGTTTCCATACTTTCGTTAAATACTCACGATGTTTTGAGCCCAGTGCAGCTCCAGAAAGGGCAAAGAAAATGCCAACGATTGCAATTAGTAGCTTCATTCTCGATGCGTGTTGGTGTTCTGTATCTTTCAGTTGTTATGGAACGACTAAGCAAGGAGCAGAGAGTGTCTGATGTTCTGGCTTTAGTTCTGGAAAATTTCTGTTATATAATAATCATTTATTATACCCTTTGCTTTAGGGCTATTTATGTTTCTTGTAGAGTTTGGGTGATTGTTTTGGGGGATCTTTTTTTTATACATTTAGTATCTACTAAATCATTGATTAAAGGCAAAATTTTTTGCCTACAAGGGCTTACATCTGAATATTATTTATGGATAGGGAAGGGTCTCACAGATTCTTCATAATATTTTCAACGAACTTCACAAAGATTTTCCGTACAATTTAGGAATTAGTTAGGGAATTTAAGTCAATATCCGTTGCAAACGCACCGTCACAAGAGGATAACACCCACACACCAACCCAGACAGCTATCTGTCTACCTATACAGATTATTGTTGCGATTAACGATTACATTTTTTAGATCTTTATGGCTAGAACCTGTAGCCAAAGAGAATATATATTATATATAATATATATAATATAATATAATATAATATATATAATAATTGTTATATTATCTTTGCTGTAGCAGTCTTTACTTCTTGTGGTTTGCTTTTGTTTGGAAGGTTTTTGAAGTTACTTCAGAGTTTTGCTCTGCCTCTGAATATCACGAAAATATTTTTGATATTCAGTGTTACTTATAGAGAGATTTACAAATATTTAACACACATTCTGCATGGATTTTTTTTGCTCAGCTATAGCAGCACTTTTATTGTCAAAATATATAATTATTTGTATATATAGTATTTTATGTGACTTCAGACATGCTCTTACACCCACCTATGGTATGGTAAATCGTTTATTTAGAATATGTACTTGTAGCCAATGGAAACCAATTAAATACTCACTCGTATTTAGGCTGTGGCACGTGCAACGGCTCCATGTCTGGCCCCATGATGCCGCTGTCCGCCTCCGCAATCTAGTATTATCGTTGTGTCGGATATATGGGAGCAGTGCTGTAGACCACTATGCCTGCCGAGTGTCGAATCCACTGGCATTGGAATGCCTGAACCTGATCCTCTTGGCGCAAGCAGCGATTGTTGGCAAATCAACAGCTCTGTGAACACATCGGTGCCACTGCCGGTGAGTGTTGCTCCTCTGATTTCCGTGTTCCCCACACTGCCCCGCTGTGTGCTGGGCAGCCAATACAGCCGCAGAACTACGAAATCTACCAAATACAAATTTCGAAACAAATACAGCCACAAATTTCCAACATTTCCAACGACATGTTACCCGAACACACAAATTTTTAATACTAAAACTAAATTTAGAGCACGAAAATTGAGTAATGTTTTCGCACAAAAGGCCAACTTGGATAATTCCGTTTTTCCGTTTTTAAAACGGGCCAGGCCTCCTATTTTAATTTTTTGTTTATAATTGTTTTTTTTTATGTTTATAATATTAATATTTATAATATACATAATTATAATATAATAATAATAATTATAATATTAATATATATGTATGTATAATATTAATATTTGTTGATAGTTAAAATTTTTTTAAATGTTTTTGTTTAACGAGATGTTTTTAATACTAAAACTAAATTTAGAGCACGAAAATTGAGTAATGTTTTCGCACAAAAAGACAACTTGGATAATTCCGTTTGTTGGGCCTCCCATTTGAATTGTTTTTTTAATAATTTTTTTTTTTGTATTATTTAGAATATTCATATTAATAAATTATATAAATATAAAATATACTGATATTAATATGTATTTATAATATTAGTATTTATAATATTATTTGTATATATATGTTTGGTAATTTCAGACATGCTCTTACACCAATCTATGTATGGTCAAAATGGTATAAATAATTATAATTATAAATAATATTTACAATATTAATATTTATAATATTAATATTTACAATATTATATTTACAATATTAATGTATATAATATTCATATTTATAATATTAATATTTGTTCTTAGTTTCAATTTTTTTTTAGTTTCAATTTTATTAGTTTTTATTTTTTTAATGTTTTTTTTTAACTAGATGTGAAAGATGAGTTTTCTAACTGCATTTTGTACTCATGCCAGAGCATATAATATTGCAGATACAGCCCATATACATTGTTCCTATTTTGGGAAATATTTTAGAATATTTATTTTTTTATGCTTAAGTGATACTTGAGTGGATATGAGTATATCCTAGTATATTTACTGTTCGTTTACTATTATTTATATGTTTATTTTTCTTGCAATTTAATGGGGTATCTGCTCTGGCTCTTCTATTACATAAAAAGTGTGCATAAAATATCAAAAAAATTTATGAAATTAGAAATCTAAAATTTTCCCTTATTTTTCTTTTATTTGCAGAGTGCTTGCCAGCTGCCAGATCGTAAGTAAATATATATATTCTAACAAGCGTTAAGTAACGTTAAGATCTTTCTACCCAAGGGGTATGCTTTGGTCGTTGCATTCCCCCACAAATCTAAAACTTTATTTGTGGAGTTGCTTATTTGGGTTTTGTTGCTCTTTCGGTTTATTGTTGTTGTTCTGTTTATTTGTTGTTGTCATTTGTGTTGGTTTGGTTTTTATGTTTTTCCCTCTCTCGGCTTGCGCATAATTTATTGTCAAATTATTGAGCTAATGAAGTGAAGTGAGAGCAGAGCGCCATGCCGTGATGCCGTGATGCCGCGATGCTGTTTTGGTGTTTCCTTGTTTGCGATTACCAGCAAAATTTATGCAGGAAATGCAGCGCGCCCAGGCCCCAGCCCTCTGCCTTCTGCTTCTGACTCTTGCTGTGTGGCTGCTTGCCGCCTGCCTTCATCATAAATCTTGCCACGAGTCAAGCACAAGCACACACACACACACACACACACTTGCAACAAATCATCTTGGGCAGGTGGATTGGATTGGTTTGGATGGGTTGCTTGAGGTGTTTCGATTGTGTGATTTGAGTGCCGATTGAGCAAGTGTTTTGCAGCTGTAATCGACCTTTGATTGAAGTTGAATGGAGCGACTGGAAGTTGGTTTAAGCTACACAGAGATTGTGAATATATTTAGGGCTGTTTTGGGGGCAGGGGGAAACTGCTCATGAGCAGCGCCTGTTGCACTTAGCAATGTCCAAAAATATTTAAATTAATTTATTGCATACACAATATGCCCCCCCCCCCCCCTTATTTTCCTAGCTCAACTTTTTCCACTCCCCCCCCCCACTCCCGCATTGTAAACATTTTTCGAAAATTTCATTTCTGGTTCATAAACAAGCCAAAAGTTTTCCCCCGCCCACCACACACACACACGGAACCGAACCGGTCGCGGAATCCTGTGACGAATTGTAATACAAATGAGCCAAAACAGTGGGAAAAGCCATTGCTCACCTTTTATGCCCTTTTGCCGCCTATGCATGCCCCCCCCAACCATCATAGTTTTCCCCATTTCCCGGCACGTCGTTTAGTGCAACAACTTAATTTGCATATCAGCGCCCGCCAAATTGCAGGCGGCATGCAATGATTGAGGGTGGTGGGAAGGGAAAGAGAGGGAGGGTGGCAGGCAAAACTCTGACTTGGCATGGAGCAAATGGAAAATTGTTTTGCACAGCCTGTCTGTGAGTGCGAGTGTGTGTGTGTGTGGAGGAAATTCATTCGCATGCAAAGGCAGCGAACACACACACACACACACACATACACTTCATCAATTTGCCAATAAACTTGTGAGTACTTTGCGCAATAGTTGCCAACATTTCAATCAGGGCAAACACTCGACAGCGAGGGAGAGCGGGAGAGAGCGGTAGCCCACGGAGAATGATTTTGCCCTTTGGCTGGCTATGGTGGCAGCAGCATGGTGCGCAGGGGGCGCAGGGGGTGTGTGCTGAATCTCCACTGAAACACTTGTGCGAACTTTTCGAGTCAGCGCAAAAATTTTATGCACATGGCATAAAATCGAAATCAAAGTTGTTGCTGATTTGGCGCAAAATTAACAGGCAAAGCAGGCGCGCAGGCCTTGCTTGAGCCTTCAATCTCAGGAACTGCTTCGTTTCGTCCTTTCTTGAATCGGGGGTCTCGGGTCCCAATGTGGGCAATTAAAGCGAAGACACCCCCCCACCCCTGAACATTTGGCCACTGGTTTTCCCCCACTGCAGTGCCCACTGGCTGCTCTCAGCCATTGCTCAAGGGAAGTTCTGCGCTCGCCCGTCTTGACTCAAATTAAATTTGCATTTCAAATTTCGTTTTTGTGTGTTGACATCGTCGCTGGGGAGGGAGGGTTGTGGCAGCGGGGAGTGGGCAAAATCAAAGCATTTAGTTTTAGACAAATCTATGGGGCAGTAGTACTACTACTACCAGGAATAACAACAACACAAACAACATAAATGGTGGGGAAAATTATTCAGAAAAGAAAACAAAAAACAGAAAGAACCCAAAAGCAGAGCAACGAATAGACCCAGTGACCCATTGCTGAGCTTAAATTATGAGAGGTTTATGGTTTATTCGAGAACTGTAGAGGAGGAATCATAGTTACAATCCACCAACAACGGATGTCCATAAAATTTCATATTTCACTTTATTTATTATTTAACATTTTATTTAACTTTAAATACTAAATAAATAAATAATACCTTAAATAATACCTTAAATAATACTTTAAATAATACAAAAATCAGATGGAATACTAACTAATCGGTGCGCCTTTTATCTGCCAAGAAGTTGCTACGAATGCCACGGAATTTTCTGGATTTAAAAAGTAGAATGAGCAACTTTGAGTGTTAATTCTTATGCCTGTCCTAGCAAATTAAGTTGAGTTGGCTTAGACATGCTAGATCATCGTCGTATTGCAGATATAGTAGGTCTACCATAGTCTCAAGTTATCCCTGAAGCTACTGCAGTTAATCCCATAAACAGGCCAACAGAAAAATGCATAAAATGCCACTCCGATTGTTTGGTTTATTTCGAACCAATAAAGAATAAAGTACTTGAAAGTTATAAGCATTAAAATCAGCCACTTCTATCGCTCTGCCAAGCCACGCCACATAAGCAGCATACCCTCCAGGCAGTTGCTCCATAAATATCGGGTATCAAAATATCAGCAAAAAAAACCAAGAAAAAGAAAGCAAGGGAAATACTTGAATGAATAAGCAGGTGCGTTCCATCCTCAGCCGTTGCCGGCCACTGGCCACTGGCCACTGGTCCTGCATATAAATCAAAATAATTTCGTTGGCTGATGTAATTTTACAGCAGAAGGAACAGCACGGGAAGGGAAGGGAAGGTGTGGCGGGCGGTGGGGAGTGTATAAATCAGTGGGCAGAAGGAGGAGCAATAGGAGGAGGAGGGAGGGTGGCAGGCGAAGGGAGCCGGCAGTCGAAGGACAAATCATGAAAAGGACAAATGAAGTGAAATTTAAATGATTGCTGGCATACTCGGAGGCGTTTCTTGAACCACTTATTTTCACCTAATTGCACACTCGAGTGGACAGACGAGACGATGCTGCTGCTTTTTCCAGTTGGTTAGAAGAGGGTGGAGAGGCAGGGAGGGTTGGTGCTTAGGGGGAGGGAGAAGGTGGAGTACTAAAACCCCACAACCATTCCCATGCCAAGAGACGTTCAGGGTGTTTTTTTTTTTTTTGGTCATTTAATGTTGCAAAATATTTGGCAAACATTTTGGATCCACACCCGGCTTTGGATTTTCTCTTTGGGTGGGTTGATAAGTGGATGGAAATCTATGTCAAATAAATGCGTGTGTGTGTGTGCGTGTGTCAAAATCATTTATGTAATCTGTAAGCACTTTCTGGCGTGTGTGTGTGTGTGTGTGTGTGTGTCTGTGTGCTGGTGACAATAAGTGAAAACCAATTATAAAGCGGCATAAGAAAGTGAGAGCCGGAAATTGGCAGAAGTGTCACAGAAGGAGGAACGTGTCAAGCCCACACACATGAAGCGACATGTAAGCAGGAAAAGCTAAAGTGAGTGAAAATCCCTGAGTGCAAAGTGGAAAGTAAAAACCGCAGGCGGCTCATTAAAGGCGCATCCCCCGCCCCAAGGTTTTTTCTATACTTTTGTTTTTGTTTAATTTAATTTCATTTAATTTTTTTGTGTGGCAAAATGAAAATGGAAAATGCAAATTAATAATTTCCTAAATGGGGCTTCAAGTACAAGTGCAGTCCAGTGCTTGTCGAACTGCAGCCGCACTAAAAACTAAAACTAAAATTTTCAATTAAAACTTGGAAACGAGCAGAGAGCTGAATCTTTGCTGAAGGTCTTCATCAGCGGCTGTAGAACTGTAGGGGCTGTTAAAACTGTTGAATCAAAGAAAAGTTTGCGGTTAGTTGGGCCTCGAATAAATTTTACTAGATCGAATGAACCTTAAATATGTGGATGAGGATTTTTTATAATTTTAGACATTGCTTTAGATGTGCACTAAATCGTATTTTAGCAGCTCGGACGCGTTTCGTCAGCTCAGTCTTTAGCGAGGCGCTGAAGGAACTTAATTTTCGGTGCGAAAAACAAAATACAACGTTTTGGGCGAAGTACAAAAGTTGGTGCCTAAAAAGCAAAAACAATATACATGGCTTGGACATGACAAATATTACCAATTTTTTTATTTATTTATTTATTCCTGCCACAGATCTAATAAAAGCCGACACTAAAAATATTTCTAAATTTCTAATTATGGAATCCCTTGATTGATTTCTTTTACTTGCTATTCGAAATTCAAATCATTTTAAGTATATATTTATTTATATTATAAATATATTTATATACATACTTATATTTTATATTATTTATATTTTATTTATATTTTATATTATTTATATTTTATCAATTTATATTTTATTTTATTTATATTTTATTTTATTTATATTTATTTAATTCTTTCATGTCCATTTACTGGCATTTGTAGCACCGCTTAGCATAAACATTAATGTGTTGTCGCCTTGGCCGATATTTTCTCACGCACACTTCATTAATAAAAACTAGATAGTATCACCCATACCCCCCAAATCCCCCGCCCTAAAACACGCAATTTGTCCCATCAACTTGTGTTCGTCTTGTGCTTCCCCAAGTCAATTTTCACAACTCAATCAATCAGAAAACTTAGACAAAATGCTGCTCAAACTGCTGCAAATACATATGTACATGTATGTATGTATGTATGTTTGTGTGTGAGTATGTCTGAAGTTCAATAAACTTTTTGCCCAAAAAAAATGCAAGAGGGAAACCTCAAAGTGCACTCGATCTGTGTGGCCCATGCCCCATCCCATCCCATCCCATCCCAAATGACATGTCGACAAAAGCAATGATTCCTTTTGCGGAATGGGGTGACCCATTCCTGGGGATGTTCTTCTTACTCGGAAAATGCATCTCCCCCCCTCCCATGCCAGCACCACAAACGTTACGCGCCTCGGAGCCGCGCGCCGCTGCATGTCATGACATGAGCAGGAAATGCGTTTTCCGACGCCGCCGCCGCTGAAGATGGCTGGGGGAAAGCGGAAAAGTGGAGGAGTAGGTTTTGGAGTTGGTTCTTGGTTTTCTTGGTTGGGTTTACGGTTACGGTTTTTTGGCTATGCCCCGTGCGCCGTTAGCCGTGCGCCATGCGCCTTGTTCCCTCTGTGCACCAAAGCGCAGCGCCATAAATATTTAAATTGTGGATGGAAGGAAGCTCTCTCTCTCTCTCTCCCTCCCCCACCCACTCTCAGCCCCATTTACGCTGGTTGTCTGGCGTGTTGCTTGCCGGCTTATTTTTTGACAGTTATCGATTCGCTTCTGGTTGATGCCTGCCACTGCCACTGCCGCCACTGCCACCGTCTTGACTCGAGCGCACCTCCACGCGACCGACTCGGAGACGTTTTATCTTGCCGCCGACTCGCTTGCAATTCATTTCCTAAAATATGCATAAGAAGTGGAAGAAGAAGAAGAAGGTACAAAAAAAAAATATATCACAGTGTGGGGCGGGGAGAGGCTCAGGGGTGGGGCAGGGAGTTCTATGGAAAAGCCAAAGAAACGGCATCATTACATTGGATACGCGCTGTCAAGCGGCTTTGCCACGCCCCCACTCAGAAAAAAGGGTAAACCCAAACACAGACACTGAAAAAAACAAATAGGGAACTTAAACATGAAGAATAAAAGGCCAGAATTAGGCTTAGAAACAGCCAGCAAAATACCGCCCAAACACAGTTAATTTTGAAACATATTTTAAACGGTTATTGGTACAAAAAAATCTGTGCTAAAATTTAATGATTTAATAAATTAATTTAATAAATTTAATAAATTAATTGAATAAATTTAATAGATTAATTGAATTAATTTAATAAATAAATAAATAAAATAAAATAATAATAAATAAATAAATTAATTTCATTAATTTAATAAATTAATTGAATAAATTTAATAAATTAATTGAATAAATTTAATAAATTAATTGAATAAATTTAATAAATAAATTAAATAAATTTAATACATTTAATAAATTAACTAACAAAATTTAATAAATTTAATACCCGCATACGGACAGGGGCATATACATAGCTAACATGCTTGAGAATACAGTCAAAATACTCAATCGTCGGCTCAGCCTGCCTCATGGCTCAAACGAGAGAGCGGACGCGCTGGCAGTGGCTTTTGAGCGCTTTCTTATGGGCTGTTCAATAAAAGTTTTAGAGAGCCAAGATAAAATGTCATAAGTAACGCTGAAATAAGCGTGTACCATAGAAATTTAGGGGCAGAAAAAGGGAACAGAGGAGAGGTAAACTTTCATTGAAGAAGAATCAGAAGAAGTAGAACCAGAATCTCTCAGTCAGTATCTCCTGAATTTACCAGTATCTACAATACATTTTGAGGCAATATTTGCAATGATAGTTTTATATTTTCAATATGTTTAATATCAGCTCGATCTCTAATTAATTCTTTGTACTAGTTTTTTTTTTTTTTGTTGTCTCAGTGCATGAACCGCATTCAATATGTTGAGAGTTATGCAGCATAAGCCGTCGCGCCGCCCGCCCCTGCTCTCGCACTCATTTCCTTCGTTTCGTTTGGCGGCAGTTGAAAACTTTGGCAGCGGCAGCAACTCGTTTGCCACTTTGTGCATGTTTAACTTTTTAGGCAACCATCCCCCCACGCCCCCACCACTGATGCCACTCTGCCACACCCTTCGCCTTCCCCCTTTGCTTTGATCAAAAGTGACACTCAAGTGGTGGTGCAAATGTTTTCCATTGAATGCAATGCAAGCAAAACGTGTCTGAATAAAAAAAAAAAAAAAACTCCCAACAACTCAATTAACAAAAGACAAAAATAGAAAAAGCCCTCAAGTCTTTTTTTGGTGAAGTTGTTGAGCCTAAATGATTGAGTAGCGACGACTCTCCAGGGCGAAACACTTTTTGATTGACCGACCAGCGTCGTGTTTTCTTTTTGCATGTATTTAATATTTGCTGAAGTCTCTCCACGCCACCTCAGTGCACTTCACATCGCCCTGCGGGTAAATCGTGTCGTCTCTGATGCATAATAGAAGAAGTGCAAATGCAAATGTTTGCCAAATATTTACAAAATTCTCAATTAAGCCAAGGGAAAAACAATGAAAATGTGTAAAGATTTATCGAGGAATTAGGCAAAGAATTTAAGTCATTTAAAGTTTGAATATTTTTTTTTGGTCTTTAAAGGATTATTTCTATTGAATTAAAAGATTTATCAATCCAACAAATATTTGTGCATTTTATTTATCAAAATTGTTGTGTGCTGATGCAAATCAAGTGGCAAATTGACTTGCCAAGGGATAACACAATTAAAATGTGAAAATTACACAGTGATTAGTGAGACATTTTTTGGGCTAAAGAAAATAGTTTGGATGTATTTTTGGAAGTATTTTGTGGAAGTATTTTTAAGAGTTTAAAATGTGTAACACAGTGTCAAAGAAATAAACCAATGAAAATTAGGCAGTGAAATTAAATATAATTTAAAGACTCCGATTGATAGAGCATTTATTTCATAATTTTGTGTAAATTAAATAAAATAGTACACAATATTTTGCTATCAATTTTAATGCTGCTAGAGGGATTTACCCCGCATGACTAATGCCAGAACCCTTGATTTCTTGTTTGAAACTGAGTTTTAATAAATGACTCACTAAAATCAATTCATTTGCTGCCTTTAAACTTTCATAAAAAAGCTTTTGGCAGCGCAAAGCTTAGATGCAGCAAAACCAAAATCAATTGGCGCTCTTATCTATCGATAATAAAGTTCAGCTATCGATATATGTCATTATTAAACCACACACCTTTCATATGACTAATCCCACACGGCTCAGAGCTTTTTTGGGGATGGAGTTCCAACCGATAAGGGACTTTTTGATATTTTAACATTTAGTCAGAGCCAATTCCAACGCAATTTATCAGTAACCAGCGATAAGTCCAACCATTTAGACGTGCCAAAAATTTAAGCGTAGAAAGAGAAAGAGAAAAAGAAAATGCCACCACCACACGATCATTGCGGCGGACCACCACCCCATCGTCGCGGGCCAACCATCAAAGTGCAGATCGCTGCACCCTGGCCACGTCGTCATCGTGCACCGCCACCACCCATTGTGGTGGTGCAGCAAAGACCGCCGCCGCCACAGCAAGTGGTGGTAGTGCAGCAGGCACCGCCGCCATATGGATACTACCAACAGCCGCCGCCACCACCAGGACCACCCGGCGGCGACGGTCACTATCACAATCCGCAGTACTGAAAAAAAAAGCGTGCAGAGCGGCAGAACCAGCAAAGATGAATTTATTTTTAGCAGTAAACAAAAATGTATTAAAAAAATATAAAATATTTGACTAAAAAAAATTGCCTAAAGATTAAATGTTTGAATGGCAAAATATTTATGGCACAACAGGTGTTTGTTTTTTCAAGGCTATTTGTACACTTTTAGTAGATAAAAAAATAATGTAAGGCATCAGCATTATTTCTTGTATTTATTGCGGCACCGAAACGAATATTTATTTGCGGCATTTATTGTTGCAAATAATCGCAATTTTTAATGCAGATTTCATTGGAATTTCTTAACAATTAATAAAGGAAATCAAAACAGCTTACATCAGCCTTTTTTCTCTATTTTTCGTTCTTTTTTTTGCAAAATATTTCTGCCAAAATAAATTTTGTAATATTCGATTTGTTTAGTTTTTTTGTAGACCTTTTTTCTACATTTTCCCCACACAGTTTTCCAAAGCATTTCCCTGCTTATCGCACAGATAAGCAAAAACGATAAGCAATGAATCTGACTCTGATAATAAGGTAAACAAAAATCAGGTGAAAAGAGGTGAAAGCAACCACAAGCCAACCGATCAATATATACGACGAATACCCAGCCATGGCTATCGAGCAAGGCAGTCTGCTCGCTATCAGAACTCGCACATCGAATGACTCAGTCTCAAAACCCACGGTCTTATCTCTAGCACACTCACACTCACCCAGCTGGAATAAATGCGGCAAAGCCCCGCCAGGCCACAAAAAATCAGATTGAATGCCCCTTCCAGTGGCATTGCTGGGGTTTGGTATGGTTTGCTTTCAGTATTCAACGCGTTGCTGTCTGGTAAGGATTGTTTTGGAAGAGTTGTGGCTGGGAACATTTTGTATACACTGAAAATAGGCAGGCATGCGACCATACTATGAGGATCCATGTGGCTGTCCTCCTCGTCATCACCATGGTCGTCCAAATATCGAAATTGATGTGGTTCCCAATTGGGGTGGCGCATACTATCCGCCGGCGACTCCGGCTCGGACCGAAGTTGTCTACGTAATGCCAGGGGCATCATCCCCCTATATGCCCCAAGCAGCTGCTGGCCCACAGTTGATGATGCCACAGCAGCCATATGGTGGTGGCATGACAATGGCCTCCGCGGGCTACTATCAGCAGCAGCAGGGCTACGAATATCAGTATCAACAGCAGCAATATCAACAGTATAATCCATATCCACAATATCAGCAATGGTAGAGTAGAGGAGGGCAAGGACACTGGCATCTTTCATCTGTCATCAAGGGAGCATCAGGCAGGAGTCTCTGGAGCATCAGGCAGGAGTCTCTGGAGCATCATCAGCTGCAGCTTGTGGAGTCTCTGGAGCATCAACTGGAGCCTCAGCTGCAGCTTGTGGAGTCTATCTAGAATCTATGGACAGAAATATGTGAATCAAACTCAAATTAAATTTAAAAAAAAAACAATGTTTAAAGCCTACAATAAAAGTAATTCCTATAAAGTGTAAACACAAGCAAAAAGATAACAAAAAGTTCTCTTTAATCTTTGGTTAAGGGAATTGTCAGCGAACGAACGAACCCATGGAATAGATATGATATGCCACTGATATTGAAAGACAATAATGATGATCAATAATTTATATACATACATATGTATATATGTATATATAAATATTACGCACTAAAACTTGCTGAAAAGTGTTGTTCTTTAGAATGTCTGGAAGGCTCTATTCGCACAGTAGAAATACATTTCTATCTGTTTATGAGTGCATATGTACATACATACTCGTATGACTCGGTTACTGGCGCCACTTGATGGTGCAGTTATCTAAAAACAAACAAATGACTTTCCATTATTTGTATTGAATTGAGAAAAGACTTTACATATATTTTATTATTATATTTTATATATTTTTATTTTTCTACTTCTACGTAGGCGCAAATTAATTAATGGATTTCTGCAACAACCGAAACTGAAATCAGTAATTTGCAGTACCTGTACTGATGTAGTTAGGAATTTGCAGTGGTGAAATACATGCGCTGCTATCCAAAATTCTATCACAAAAATGTACGTCGGACCAAAGACTCTATAACACAGAGTCTTTGGTCGGACACATGCAATAACGAGCTTCCCATATCGTTTTTCCTATTATGGTTACAATCTCTAATACCCAAAAATTCTAGAGCATATTCATTTACGTCAAACAGATACAAAATCAATATTCAAACAATTTTTAGGAAATAAATAAAACAAAATATATAATATAAATACAAATAAAATCCTCAACAGATAGAAATCATTTGCAAAATTTCAGAACTTGGGGTATGAGAAGTATTCTTTATTCTTCAATGTATTTATGTCTACCCAATCATTCTCATTAAATATATATATTTGTATAAATATCTATAAAATTATTCATTTGTTCCATTAGTTAATTATTATTATTAATTATTATTATTTAGATTTTTGAAGTCCGCCTAATTTTATGAAGTATTTTCATGTATTTATGTCTTCACATCTATTCACTCATTAGATCTATCTAGGTGTATATAAATATCTATAAAATTATTCAGTTTTTCTATTAATATTAATAATACCCTCTAAATTCTTTTTAAATTTATCTGTCCTTCCCCTTTACCGCAAAAATTTGATGATTCATTGTAAAACCCAAACCTTGAACCTCTCGAAAATGAAATTCACACCAAAACTCACACCCCTCCCAGCCCCCCCTAACTGGAAAATATTTTATCAATATCTATATATATATTTTTTATCGAAGAAGACATTTATTTCACCTGACAAGATAATAAATTTAAGCTTCTGCACAAATAGAAATCAAAGCAAAAACAAGTGTGAAAAATTCCCCGTAATTAGCGATAAAAGAGACCTTAAATAGTTAGGCAAAGGCCAGTAGAGCCTCAGTACGAGCAAAGAGCCAAAAGGAGCAGCAACTAACGCCAAAAGGATACCAGCCGAAGAAATCGAAACAGCAAAAAAACAACAAAGCGACACAGCAATATGCCGTACTACGAGGAGGAACGTCGTCATCACCATCATCATCATCATCATGGTGGCCGACCCATTGTGGAGGTCGACATCATACCCCCAAGGCTGCCCCGCCCCGTGATTGAGATCGGTGTGGGTGGTCGCCGTCCACCGCCGCCCATGGTGGAAGTGATCACACCCGCAGCTGTGTACCAGCCGCCCTATCAGCCACAGTACCAGCAGCCGCAGCGACCCATTGTCGAGGTGGATGTCGTGCAGCCCAGCAGGCCCTTCATTGAGTTCAACATTGGCGGTCGTCGTCCGCCCCCAAGGGAGGAGATCATCATTGTGCAGCAGCCGCCACCACCCAGATGGTAGACTGGCAAATGGAAGTGGAACTGGAACTGGAAAATGCCATCAACGCCATCAGTTAATTGGAAATCCGTTTCAAATGTTTGTTTAAATAAGTTAAATGCATTTTATTTTATTTTAATTGAAATCTACATGATTGCCTTTCAATGTTGTTTGTCCTGTGTCCTTTGGTGTGATTGTACTTTTATTGAAATGTACATACATACATATAAAACATATATAAATGTTAATGGCATAAATATGAAAATTAAACTGTTTGGCAATTGTCATTTTTTTTTTTTTGTTCTGATTGTACTTTGTAACGGAAATGATTGATGTCCTTTTTGGCCCGCAGTGTTGGCTTATCAATTAGTGTACAACTATTTGCCATGTACATTCCATCGTGGGTTTTCCCTCTCGCTTTTTAATTTTAATAAAATCTAAACTGCAAAATGGCATTTGTTTTGGTTTTTTTTTTTGGCTCTTTCTCGATTCTTTTTTGGGGCACATTTGGGGCATTAATTTGTGCAATCAATTGCTCTTTTAGCATCGCCTGATCATTGCTCATATTGTAGTTGATTGCTTTATGAGAGGTCTTTAAATGTTGGGAAAATTTTTTAAATATTTTATTTTTAATTATATAAATATATAATATATATATTTTTGATAGCGATGGAATCTTTAAGTAATAACTCGACAAACCCTTTACAGGATCCCCTTGAATGGCAATCACAAGAGCTCTACGTCTTACACTTTGCTGCAAGAATTGTGTTCAGCAAGGCAACACTTGGTCTGTGATGTATTTCCTTCTACTGAATAAAGTATATATATTAAGTATGGGTATATATTTATATTTAGTGTATATTTATTGTAGATGGCATAGTATTTTATGGTGCATATATGGGTTACATTTTTATATAATTTGTTTCGCTAAAATTTTTGGTAAAACTTCCTAAAAACAGATATGTGAGAATAAAATCAGAATTCCCTGATAATATAAAAATATAATCTAACAATATAATAATATAATATAATATAATATAATATAATATAATATAATATAATATAATATAATATAATATAATATAATATAATATATATATATAATATAATATAATATAATATAATATAATATAATATAATATAATATAATATAATATAATATAATATAATATAATATAATATAATATAATATAATATAATATAATATAATATGACAACAAAAGAATTTTTTTTTTTTTTTAAAATGATTTACAAAACAATTTTTATAAATATAAATATATTTATAATTAATTAAATATTATATTTCCTTATAGTATAATTTTCAAAAATATCTGATAGGTATAAATATAGGTATTTATGATGTTTGTTTTGTAAATCATATTTTTATTTACAAAACAAACATCCTAAATACCTATATTTTTTGTTTTTGTATTTAGTATTTAAAATCTTTTCTGAATATTGAACATGTAACAAATAGAATCCATAAGAAAAAAACTTTAAAAAATGTTTCAAAATTTTCCATAAATTGTGGTTGTTTTATATATCTGTTTTATATATATATCATTCAAACATACATATATTTCTTATAAAATAATCATACAAATTAAATCTTTCTCTTTCTATATTGCAGATAAAATTAAATGGGTTCATGGCTGGTATGTTGTTCAAAATATATTCTTAATAATTTCCATTTCTATTGATAAATCAATTTCAATATGTTGCTTAAATAAACCCTAAAATGATCCCTTAATATCCACTTTGAAGTAATAATAATGACTCACCGAGCTGCAGCCGATCTTGAGGTAGCCCCCGCGATGGTTGAGGACACCCATGAGTCATTAGTTTAGGCCTTTGGCAAGCACACAAAGTGTCCAAGAGTTAGAGCAGCCCTGGCAAATGAATCACAGTCGTCGCTATCTACTGACTCTGTCTTTTTTGCAATAGAGACTGCATGGAAATTGATCCATCAATGTACGTGATAAGGGGGGCCCTAGAGGATTTACTTATCGGCGGGGACAACTAGAACTACTAGAAAAGAATATATAAATGAACTGAAATTACTGAAAATTAAACATTCAACGAACGCCAATCGAGCAGCGAGGAATAACAACGCAAAGAATATCGTATCGAAGAACTATGTCCGACATTCAAGTTAATGTGCAGTGCGAGTGCTACCATCGTCGCGGATTGTTGTATTTTGCCAATCCGCTGGCCTGGGGACGTCCCTGTCGCCGTTGCCGTCGCATGATGAGCAGAAGCAATATCGTTGTGGTGCCCACACCGATGGCAGTGCCAGCCGCCACCACTGGGCCTTGCTGCCACACCACCACTGTGGTGCAGGGCACACCAGCAGCCAACTACCAGCAGCAGCAGCAGCAGCAGCAGTATCCACCGATGAACGTCTCCGCTTTGCCACCAAAGTACGACCAGGCGGTGGCCTCCTACTAATCCCACTAAGGCTGGTTCATTCCTGATCATTTGTAACCTTCTGTGCAAATAAAAATCGTTTAAGAAACATTGCAGAAAAAAAAATCAAAAACAAAACAGAAAAAGTTGTCTCTGTACCAAAAAAATCCCAGCAGAGACCTTGTTAAATGAGAATTAATTGGCGCCAGCATCAGAACAGAACAGAACACCCCAACCAAAAAAACAACAGCAACAACTACTTTGTGCAATTAAAACAAATTGTAGCCAACAGATAGAACAGCAGCAGCAGAGAGCAGTAGCAGCAGCGAGCAGGTTAAATCCACAGAATAAGTTGGTCTTTTTCTTGGCATACATCATGGGTGTAGTGCAGTGTAACTATGTGTAGTTTTGAATACCCTACAAGACGGGTGTAAGGATTGACTAGCATGAAGCATATTCTATTGCAAGGCAAGAGGCTTGGGAGGCTTGGGTAACATAAATCTATCAGAGATCTATCAATTGTTCATTATCAGATTAAAGTATTTATTTGAAAATTTAAGATTTATCAAAGGATTGCTTTAGGCTTTAGCTTTAGGCGCACAAAAATTAATTTCCTACAGATATGAACAGATAAATCTTATAATAATATTACAATTTTAATATTATATTATAATATTATAGTATAATTATATATTATATATATATATTATAATTATAATAATAATAATAATATTAAAATTGTAATATTATATTATAATATTATTAATTATTAATTAATTAATTAATTATTAAAATTTTAATATTATATTATAATATTATTATTATATATGTATGTATATCTGTAAGTGTTAATGGGGGAAAAAATTAATTTTTAGGCCTCCAAAAATTAATTGCTTCCCCATTATCATTAACAGATATGAACAGATATAAACTAATAATAATATTAAAATTGATTTAGGTCACTCTTTAACTGATCGAAATGCTGCAAAGTTTTTTCCCAATTATAAATCCTTTATTGTGGGGTATTTGCCAATTCGTTTCTTTTATTTTCTGTGCTTTATTCTGTGCTGTCTTTTGCACCTTAACAAAGGTCTAACTGGCTTAGCAGCATCATAAAACTTTTCTGCACATAATAATTCATATTAAACTTGCCTCTCCCTCCCTGCCGCTCTCTCTGCCTCTGTCTCTGCCACTGCCTCTCTATCTGTGGCTTTGGTTCTGGCTGTGGCTGTGGCTTTGGCTGCTTCTTGGCCAGGTCAGCCATGCAGCCAGCCAGCCAGCCAACCAACCAACCAGCCAGCCATTCATTCACTCATTTATAGCATGCCGCTCCTCATTCATTTCATTTCATTCATTTTTGCAAAACAAAGGCTGGCAACACCCGGAGACTAAACACATTTCGGTGAACCTCCACCTCCACCCGGTTGCTGGCTGGGGGCTGGGGCTGGGGCTGTGGCTAGAAAAGAAGACTAAAAGTCGGCTTCACTTTGGCTTTTGTTGAGGCTCTGCAGGGCGAGGGTTGGATGAGAAAGTTACTAAAGGCGTGGCTGGCGGGATGCGTTAGGGAAAAGTCCAAAGCTCGCAGAGTCAATGTGGAAAGAATCCTCAGAGGGGCGCAATAATTTTTTATTCTTTAGTTTTGCCCCTCCAATAAATCATAAATTCTTGTCGCTACCCTCTCAAACTATTACCCCTCAAACACAACCCCTCCCACCATTACCCCTTTCAGCAGGCCACCTGTACAGGATTTACCCCCAACCCTCCCTTAACCATTATCCCCCATCGCATGCCTCATCAGACTCTGTGCGACCTGCTTTCGCCCTGTTGCTGTTGTTTTATAAACAATGAACATATTATGTGTAAACCCAACAACAATAGCCTTAGGAGAGAGAGAGAGAGAGTAATAGGGTTAAGGGTTGAGGTGAGGTGAGGTACTGCCAGACTGCCAGACGGCCAGACGGACTGCCTCTGTAGTAGGCCTGTAGTCAAAAAACAAGGTGTTTCCGACAATTTTTACTTGCCCCGGAGCGGAGGCCGCCACTGCCTCCCTCTCTGTCCCGTCCCGCTTTGTGTGGCCGTTGACGTCAACGTCATTGTCGACCGTTTAGCATCTTGGCAAAATGGCATGCCATTATGGAAGAAAATTATGGCAGCAGTGTTGGGCAAGGAAAATCAGCCTTAGAACCCCCACCAAAACAAAACCCAAAAGTGCCTGAAGTTTTCACCGGTTGCCCGCTGCCTACTGCCTGCTGCCTCCGTGGGCGCGCCTTTGTTTCAGCATTCTAAAGTTTTTCTTATATTTATTTTTTTTGGTTTTTGGAACCTGCAGTTAGCCTCAAATGATTTCCTTCTGTTAGCCCTTGAGTGAATCCTTTGCTGCTTAGCTTCACTGCTTATCCCATTCTAGTGCTTGCTGCTCCTTTGCTCCTGCTGCTCCTCCTGCTGCTCCTCCTGCTGCTGCCAAATCATTTTATGACTTAACCTTTTGTTATTCCCCTTTTGTCTGCCCCTCTGTACTCGTTTTTAGGTAGGGGGGAACATTTTTAATTTTGTTTCCGGTAATTTACACTCTATTACAAAATTTACTGCTCCCTCGCTGCTCTCTCTCTCCTACCCTCTCTGCTCTCTGCTCTCTGCATATTTCCATCACTTAACTAGCTGCCATAGATTGTTTAGGAAATTATTTTGGTCATTCAGCTCATCAGCATTTAGGGGAAAAAAGCAGGCACAGAAGTATCAACAGGAACCGGAGTACGAGCCAGTGCCAGGCTCAGCACGAAGAGGCATCATCATCATCCAGGGCGTATGAGTAACCTTCCATGCAGATTGGCTTTGTCTATGGGCAAAATCAAATTACATTAATAACTAGAATTGGGCATAAATCAGGGGCTGCTGCACTCCACTCTCTGACCTGACATGCATCCTCTCACAAAATTTCCCCCATGGAAAATCTGTTGTGTTTTTGCACCAAAAATTGTCTGGTAAAATTTTAAACAAAAATCCAAAGACCAGAACCCACACACACATACACACCCCCAAAAAGGAAAGGTGCTGATAGAGAAAACGTAGAGAAAAACCACAAATTTTTGGGCTAAAATTGTACAGCAGCAGCAAACTGGAGTTGGTATTGGTATTGGTCTTGGTCTTTCCATACATCCATCCCACAAACAGTTTTGTGCTGTGATTGTTCATTGAGGCATAGGGGAAATCCCTGAAGGAGTGGCAGGAATATGTGGAAGGAGACCAGAGACCAGAGACCAGAGACCGACCGACCACACTGAGACGCCGCCTTTCATAGTTGATTTTGTACAGCACAGGGTGTGGGGGGTGTGGGCAGTGCCTGCTCCTCTCTCCCACAAAATGTATGAAATGTCTATTCTAATCCGGAAATTAAATTCCATTTAGAAATTGTCCTATACAAAATGTTTGGTCAGACGTTTGGGTACATGCTCCTTCTCCTACTCCCACATACACGTATGTGCATATATCTACTGTTTGTTTATGTGTGTGTGGGATCCTGGATAACTACAGCCAACCAACCAGCCAGCCAGCCATCTATATGCTTAATTTATGGTGAGCCACTTGTTCAACCAGAAGCAAGCGGCACAGTCTACTTTTTGGCCAGAGAACTTAACCCAACAAAAAATATTTGTAAATGCAGGCTGCAAGGCTAATAGTTTTTAGTCCCATTTTTAGAGTAAATTTTACACACTTTTCATGCGCACTTAAATTAATTTCCAGGGCTTCAATAGTAGCTTGAATATATTTAGTTACATTTTTTCGATAGTTTACTTTATTTTTAGGCAATTTTATACCTTGAAAAAAAAAAAACAGAAATAAACGTATCTGTGCTTTCCACATAGTTATGAAAATATTTTCCATATAAATTGTCAAGCAATCAAAGCATTACATGCCGGTTTTTCCATTACAACAAAAAGGGTTAAATTGTATGGGGCCTGGACTTGGACTGGGACCAAGACAAATTCATTTGCCAATATTTTATACAATTAAAAACTTTGCCTGAATAGAGCCAACAAAAATGACAAAAGCCACACATGAAAAGGGAAATAGAGTGGAGAGATTCCGGATATTTATTTTTGTGCACAAAAAGGAGTGGCAGTGGCAGTGCCAGTGCCAAAAGGTAAAATGGATCTAAATAAAATATTCTCAAATCTGTAGGCATCGGTTAAGGCAAACTAAAATGAGCTTTGTGCAGGCACTTTAATATGTATTTACCCCCAGCAATTTTCTAGAGTGGAGAATGTGAGTGTGGTATATCCCTTTTTTTTATTTTTTATACATATAACGGGGAATGACACATAAAATGTGTCAACTAATCAAATGGGCGACAGATGGGGGATATAAGTATTTTGTGTTCGTACCTGCAGAAGGTAAAAGGCTCAATCAGAACATCAAACTGCCAGCCATTTGTAGTACGAGAGTGCGTGTGGGTGGGTATGGGTATGGATGCATCTTCTGTAAAACCCTAATGCGACAAAGCCATTTACTTTATTTGTACATTTTTTTATATTTTTTTTCAAATACTCTTTTCAAAAAGGGTATGCTTAGTTCTGAGTAGAAAAAGCAGCAGAGCAGGGCCTGCTTCTCACGTGAGAGTTTTCCAAGAAAAAGGCTTGTCAAGCAAGTCTTTTCTTTTGGCTTTTCTGTGGCTTCAAATCGTGTGATATGTTTATGTATGTAAGTTATTATTTAGGTATAGTTTTATTGATATTAAATCGCGGTGCACAGGTAATGGTAAGAATAATTGGGCTTGCTGTAACTGCTTGAAATCGGCTGATTTCTGCTGCTGCTGCTGTTCAACGCTACGTCCGGCTGTTTCGATTATCTTCTTACTACACTCCTTCTGCTGATCTTCTCTGCTCTGTTCTTCCTCTGCCTTTGTTGCGTATCTGCTGTAGCGTCTCGCTCTGCTGTTACTGCTGTTGCAGCTGTTCATCTACTGTTACTGCTGTTCCTCTACTGTTACCGCTGCTGCTCTGCTGTTACTGCTATTCCTCTACTGTTACCGCTGCTGCTCTGCTGTTACTGCTGTTCCTCTACTGTTACCGCTGCTGATCTGCTGTTACTGCTGTTCATCTACTGTTATTGCTGCTGCCCTCCTGTTACTGCTGTTAGCCAATGCTCCTTCTGTGGGCCGACTTGCTCACTCCATGTTATATGTCTATTTATGTAGATACACAAAAAACTATTAGAAGCAGCCATTTGCATCTGTTTTAATTGTTTTGAATTATTATTGTTTATTATTTATTATTATTATACAGTTTTATGTCAGTTCTCAGCTATCTTAAAACTTTTTTTGGGTAATTTATAGATGCAATGTTGCCACAATAGCTCAAAATTGGATGACTTTTCCGCAATAACCCAGAATATTATTTTATTATTATTATTTATTTTCCTAGCAGATGTCCAACATTTTCGTACTTTTTTTTGCAGTGCTGTCGCGCGCACTTCGCACATTTTATCGATGCAGCTTGGACACAACAATCGATCTGTCAGGGTAGGGTATCTATACGTTCGTTCTTCTCATACCCGCTTCACTTTCATTTTCAGTTTGGTCTCTTTACTTGCGCTTTCCTATCGTTTTGTTTGTTTGTTGCGTGTGAGCAATAAAATTCTTTATCTTATTTCATTTTTTTTCTTTTTTTTTTGTCTCTTTCAAAACCCGCGAAAATGGGCAAATGGCAACGGCAAATGTTTATGGCTTGTTATTTGAGCATAAAAGCATTTTGCCACGCCACGCCCTCCCCTCCCCCCGCTTCGCACGTATGAGCCACACACACACACGCGCGCCAGATGAAAATTATCATTCAAAATACAAAAAAAAAAAACAAATAAAATAAAACAAAAACAAAAAAAGGAAATGCCGAAAGCTAAAACAGAAGCGCGACGAACAATGAAATTGTCAAAAAATGTAAAACGAGACACGCATCAAAGTGGGAACTCGTCAGCACGGCAGGGGAGGGTACAGGGGCGGGGAAGGTGAATTCTCTCGGCAGGGTGGCAGTGGGAAATTGTTTTGGCCAAACAAATAAATTTATGTTGGCAATTTGGTAATGAGGGGGTGGCTCTCTGGTGGGGGAGGGTGTCTCTCTGATGGTGGGGGGTGAGAGGTTGAGATAAATAGAGCGCCACTTGAGATGCTCATTCAGGGCCAATAAAAATTACGCAGCAATTGCAGGAGTGAAAGCTAAAAGCGAAAAAGTTCGAAAGTGTCGACACTTCTGTGTGGCAGCAGACTCCTTGGCTCCCCAGTAACCCTTCGGCCTGTGGACTGGCGAGGACACGTACTGGCAAGGATCGTTGAGGTCTCAATAGCCTGCCCCCAGAGGAGAGGTTCAGTGGCAGCGACGATGGCCTGAAGCGTGACGCAAATGGCAAATGAAAAGCAAATGAAAACCAAAAGCGAAACTGCGCCAACATAATAAGAAATGTAATCAGACTAAAGCGGGGCGGAGGCGGAGGCAGCATACACAGTTCAGAGCACAATGCACAGGACTACGCGTAAAGCGAGTGAAATAGTTGGCGGCGCTACAATGCACAGGATTAGAGGCGGAACTAAACGTTGGGTTTTTCCCATGGGAGTTTCTAACTGAAAAATGTGTCAAAAATTACAGGAAACATGTAAGAATCTATCGTTCACGAAAAAAAAACAGACAAAACATAAAACAACGAATAAAAGTGCTAGAAAAAAATTTGGCTGGCATAAAAAACATAGGTAAACATAGGTACATAGGTAAACGTAAAATAAGGGAACTTTATTGCCTTTCCTTCTGGATTTCCTGGTGGATTTTAACGCAAAAAAAAATAAATTCCATTTTATCAACGAATAAAATTGCCAACAAAAATTTGTCTGACATAAAAAAAAAAAAACCAATGGAATTCCAGTATTATTTGCAGGCAAAAAAAAGTGTGAATGGCAAGTAAAAACCAACGGTGAAAAATCGAACGTGCCACATAGCAGGCTTATAGGATAAAGCACTTGGGTTGGCTGCTGGCAGACGACTTTGTAGGTGCTGCCGATTTCGTGAGGTTAGCGCCATTGACCGGAAATGTAAAATGCACTTAACACACTACCTTCACCCCCTGATCCCCACGCCCAACCGTACCACACAACCCCTGCCTGCCTGCCTGCCTGCACCACCCCAAAAAGCCCCAAAAGGAAAGTGCAAAATATCGCTATCAATAAATTCGCACGTAGCTGGTTGGCGGCACCTAAGGAGGGAGGGGGACTGCGGCGCTGGGGTTCGCGTGGATAATTGCAAAAACTCAGTGCCAGAGTCAGCTGTAATTCCTTTTTTTCTTTCTTTTGGCTGCTGGCTGCTTTTCGAAACGATTTCATTCCATTGCTGGCTGGCTGGCTGGCACTCGCAATTTGAGCTTTTTGAAACAAACACGCGCCGAAGCAACTAAAAATTGTTGAAAAGGAATCCTCCACATACTTGATGCGAGTGGGGCGGTGGGGCGGGGGGATTTAGCTTTTCGTTGGGGTTGCCCAAGAGGTAAGGAAAAACTCTGCGATTCAGGTTAAGGTTGGGTTGGGGGGAAGGGTAAGAGCTGAGCTGAGCTGCTGCTCCTCCGCTCCTGTGGTGACTGCTTTTAACGAAAATTGCTTCATTAGAAGCAGCGGCGGCAATGGCAGCAGCAGCAGCAGCGGCGGGTTAACTGTGGAAATACTCGACCGCTGCCTGATTGAGTTGCACTTTCGGTGGGGTGGGGGGCGGCAGGCAACAAAGTTGCGAAAATTAAAACGAATTTTATTTGGTATGAGAGCAACGCAGCAGAGATACCCAGTACAGGAGATACAATTTATTGTATATATATACATATGTATACATACATATATATACATATGATTTTCAACAGAGACCTCCCTGGTCAAAAATATTTGCATTCAATTTTTATTTTTGATTTTTATTATAAAATTAAAAAAAAAAGACTTATTTTCTTAAGACTTATTTTTATAATAAAAATCAAAAAATGATTTTAGAAAAAATAATTTTTATTTTTGATTTTATAAATTAAAATCAAAAAATAAATCTTTTACCCGATTTTTATAATAAAAATCAAAAATTAATTCTTATTTCATAATTTTTATTATACAAATTATAAGTCTTACAGACTCTGATTTATACAATTCTGATTGTGATTGAAAAATGCATTAAAAATTCTTTAAGAAATTTAATTTCTCAGCTTTTATTTGTGGGGTGTTTCTTTGGAAATTATTACCAGACATTAATTGAAGAAAAACGTATTATTTTATATGGGACTATACTGAGACAGTCTTGGCAGATTTTATTGATAGAATTTTTAACACAAAATTCTATCGTATAGAAAACTATCTACAAAATGCAAATCTGATGAGGAAATCCGGTCACCCTATTTTTTTTATTTTTTTTTTGTATATTATCCAAGCTACCTTTGCGTAAAACATTATTCAATTTTCGTACTCTAAATTTAGCTTTATTATGCGAGATTTGTGTGTCGTAAATGTCGTAGTTCTGCGACGGAAGCGGCTGCCCTGCACTGATCGGGGCCAGCGTGTGGACTCGGAAATCAGAAGAGCGACAATCAGCGGTATTTGGCATCGGTGAGTTCACAGAGCTGCTGATCTACCAGAAAGCGCTGCTTGCTGCCTCACATGATCAGTTCAAGCAGTCCCCCCATGCCAGTGCATTCAGGACTGCCAGCGGCATAACGGTCCAACGCACTGCACACAGATAACGGACACATCGACAATACAGAATTGTGGGGGCGGACAGCGACCTCATGGGGCCAGGCATGGAGCCGTTGCACGTGCCACAACCTAAATATTTGTGGGTAATGATCAGCTTTAATTTGTTACTAATATTTATTGGAATAAACGGACTTACCATAGCTTGGATAAGCCAACTTTTAAATGAAACTGCAACGAAGGCAAACAAAAACAAATTTTGAGAAATGATTTAAAATTTTAATTTAAAAACGAAAACGAACAAATTTTGTTGGGTTTGATATTTGTACTGAAAATTGCTGCTTTACTTTTGGAGACCAAATTACGAGTGAGACCAGAAAATTTTAAGGACTACTAGATCTAAACAAAATAAATACTGCCAAGAGACAAGTAAAATTTAGGAAAATAAAATAATAATACAAATTAAAAATATAATAATAACAATATAATAATAATAATAATATAATAATAATAATATAATAATAAAAATAATAATATAATAGTAATAATAATAAAATAAATTAAATAAATTAAAAATTTCAATTAATAAAATACCTAAGAAAAACATAAACCAATCGGCAACAACTAAACCACCCACCAACCAATGTACCCAACAGGGCACAAAAATCCTATAGAACTTTCATTGTGTGTGTTCGCAGCGATTTCTGCCAAGGCAGAGTCCTAATGAAATTAAAGGTAAAACACTTTTAGGCTAATTGCTTTAAATGCGTGTGGCAGCAGGAAAAAAAACCAACCGATTTCTATAGAAAATAAAAGAAAAGAAACATTTTTGTTGGCCGTCCCGTCCGATTGTGTGGCTGCTGGCTGGCTGTTGGCTGTTGGCTGGCTCGTTTGCATTCATAAATCAAAAGAGCATGTGTCTATCATGACCATACCCCCACCCCCCAGCCCTAGCCCCAGCCCCAGCAGGCAGCCAGTCAGCCAAACAATAGAATACCGTAAAGATTATATAGAAATAGCCACACAATATAAATAGGAGCAAAAATATGAAAGTGAGTTGAGGAGCAGAGCAGAGCAGAGCGAAGAGCAACAACCGCACACAACAAATGGAGCATAAATTACACATGGCCCACCATAGAAAAATGATACTGGCCCCCGTGAACATAAAACAGATACAGCCTGTTTGCTGGAATTTTTGCCAGATAGAAGTTAGGGACTGGTGGGTGGCTGGGGGGCTGTCGGGTGGGGTGGCATCCATACTCATCATTTATAAAATGCCGCGCGAGAGAGGTTTTGTGTGCTGCTTTTGGCATTTATGGTCATCAGCGGCGGGGTCCGAAAAATGAAGTTAGCATCTCCCTCCTCTTCTCTCTCTCTCTCTTTCTCATCTCATCTCATATCCGTTTTCAGTTCCTGCTAAACTAATCGCGTTACAATGAAAATTGATGATGCTACACAGAGAAAAAAAGCAGGAAACGAGATTTAGATGGTATTACGACTAAAGGATGCCCATTATTGTGGGTAGTAAGTAGTGGGAAAAGCAGGCTTGGAAAATTGCTGAACAATTTTGCTTTATTAATTATTACTTAATTAAATATCAAAAAATTTTAATAATAATATTAAATATTAAATTATTAAATTTATTAATTAATTGTGATCTGCTAATGTGATTGTGAGCATTCAGCGCTGCATGTCTTTATTAAATATAAATTAAATAATCAAATATTAAATTATTAAATTTATGAATTAATTGTGATCTGATTATGTGATTGTGAAGCATTCCAGTTCAGTGCAGCAGCTGTAACAGGGCCAACAGCGCTGTTAACAGACGCTGGCTAACAGCCTCTTAGCGCTCTCCGTTAACAGTCTGTAGCCGCTGCTACCGCTGCTACAGCTCACTGTTAGCGCTCGCTGACAGCGCTCTTGGGTTGTCGCTCCTTGGGCTGTTGCTCTCACGATCCACACGGCTCTCGAGCAGCCTGGATTACTTCTCCTACATTAACAGTTTAATACCCACTACTGCAAGCAGTGCGTACTTTTGGTGGGGTGAATATGCCAAGTAAAAGACAAGTATATATTTATTTTATATTTATATATACTGTGTGAATTCTGTGCATAAAAAAATATCCCCACTTAAAAAAAAATTGCTACAACTGCTGTCTCCAATTCTAATCATTGTTGCTACCCTGTAGCACCACAATACGAGATCTGAAAATCGGAAAAAAAAGCTAAAGAGCCAAAGAGCGTTTTTGGGCCAGTTAGCCTATAACTATGCAACATATTTTAGTGCCACAAAATTGGCCAAGCGAATGTCAGAATGCCAGAATGCCATGTCATTGACTTTGTTGCAGTTGCAGCCACTTAAATTCAATTGACTCCGACCCCCCCAAACCCCGGGGCAGCAGCAGCAGCAACAACAAATGTTTGGCAAATATTGTCAAGCGAGTCGAGTGGATGGATGCCAGTCGAAAGGAGGGGCACAGCAACTGGAATGGGAACTCAAATATGTTGGGGGCGAAATGGGGCAGGGGAGGGGGGCGATTCAGTTAACAAAGTTTTCGCAACGAACCAAACCAGAAAACCAAACAACAACAACAGCAGCAGTTGCAGCTGCAGAGAGTCAGAATCAGAATCAGAGCAGAGCAGAGCAGAGAGAGAGAGAGTCCTGCCTGTCCATCCCTTTGGCTACTTAACTGTTCAGTCGACCAGACCCAAAGTGCCACCACCGCCAGCATCGCCATGGCTATAAAAATGCAATGCGAGAGAAACGCGAATATTCTGCGGGCACTCTATCTGTTTGGTTGGTGAAACAACAATTGGGACCAAATATGTGGAACGCATTTAATTGAATTGGAAAAACTCTAAACAGACCCCGCATCCGGTTTGAAAATTCCAAAAGAATTTCGAATAGAGTTTGTGAATGCTCTAGGCAGGGAATCAAAAAGAGCATTTGCAGATATCTAGGGAAAATTGATTGGTGCATTGATTGATTGATTCTGCTCTGCAGAAACAGAGGTTTATCTATAATATAAAAATCAAAAAAAGGAATTTATATCCAATAATTTTTATTTATCTATTTATTTCATATATTTATTATATTTTATCACTGATTTATATTTATTTTATTATTATTTATATTATTCACAATATTCTATTGTATTTTATGCACCAAAATAAGTACAAGTATATTTATTTATTTTATTTATTATATTTTAACCCTGAATTATATTTATTTTATTTATTTTTTTTATTTATTATATTTTAACCCTGAACTATTATTATTTTATTATTATTTATATTACTCACAATATTCTATTGAATTTTATGCACCAAAATGAGTAAAAGTATATTTATTTATTTTATTTATTTATTTATTATATTTTATCCCTAATTTATTTTTATTTTATTATTATTTATATTATTTAAAATATTCTAGGTTATTTTATGTACCAAAATAAGTAAAAGTATATTTATTTATTTATTTTATTTATTTATTATATTTTATCCCTGATTTACATTTATTTTATTATTTTTTATACTATTCACAATATTCTAAGTTATTTTATGTACCAAATGCAAACTTTTGTAGTTTTCTGCAAGCGATTTATAGACCTTTTTGTGTCGTATATTTTTAGATTTCCAAACAAACTTTTCTGATTGTATTATATACCAAAAAAGAATATCCATCTATCCATCCATCTAGTGAATAAGTGCAGATAAACCAAGTAAGTTGCGGCTCTTTATTTTTGCTTTCCAAGAAATTTACTTTCGATGAACCCAGAAAACAAACAAAAAATCAACTATAAATTGCATTTATTCTTCATCCCAAAACAATGCCCCAAATTAATTCAAGAGCTGCAAACATTTTAGAGTGTGCCAAACGCCACGATTAAATCTAGCTACCCAAGAGGGTAGAGTGCATAAGCGATTTCCAGTCAAACGAATTGCGACCAAAGTCCAAATTCGAATGCAATTACATGACGATACTCGGGTGCAAAGGCAAACACTTGATTCCCGAATGCCAGTGTGTGAGTGTATTTGTGTGAGTGTATTTGTGTGTGTGTGTATTCGCGTGTATGCGTGTGTATGTGTTGGCAGTTAATATGATGACGCTTAAACATGGCTAAAAAGCATTATGGCCGGGGCAAAGTCAATTAGAGGCAGGGCGACAGGCGGCGGCCATTTGCCTGCCAGTTCAACGATCCTATCCTGGATGTGCCACATGCCCATGCCACATGCCCTCCCCCTCCCCTCTCCTCCTACTGTTTGCCTGACTGTAAGTGAATCCAATCCATATTTGTGGCAAATTGTGTTTGGCTGTGGCAGCCACCTTAAATGTTAAATGTTTTACCACCCCGAAAATGCCAAGTACACACTTGATGAGCCTGATTTTGGTTAAGGGGTTAGGGGGCTAAAGGGTGTAAGGGGTTTAGTGGGACTTTTGTTTGTCAATTTGGTTGAATTTGGCAACGTGCTTGGCTTGGCTTGACTTGGCTTGGCTTGCGTAGCAATTGAGACAATGTCGCCACGGTGACCCCACCCCCCTTTAGCATGGCGGCCAATCCTTTTGCCTGCCATTCTTTAGCGCTCCCCCCAAAGTTTATTTTTAAACGAATTTCCAGGTTGAGCCACGAGACAAGCCGAAAATCTCTCTCTCCCTCTCTCCCTCTCACCCTCTGCCTTTGGGGGGTTTGGAGCTCTGGTTTGAAATATTTAGAGGACATTATGGGAGCGCGCCACAACTACCATTGAGGGATACAGCAGCACCCTAACTGGCATTTATCGTAAACTTCAACTGCCAGAGCGGCGGCGCGTCATGGATTTTTTTGGGGGACAACAGAACATGACACCTCCTGCTCCGCAACACAGATAGATATATGTGTGTGTGTAGGGGGAGGGCGTGGGCAACCCATAGACTATATCAATATTGGCCTAATGGCAATGACAACGACAACGTTAGCTATCCATAAAAAGCAATGACAACTCTTTACAACAGAGGCTGAGGCACAGGCTGAGGCACAGGCTGAGGCAGAGGCGGAGGCAGAGGCTGAGGCTGAGGCACAGGCTGAGGCAGTGGCAGAGTGGCAGTGGCAGAGTGGCAAAGCCAGAGGCAGGCAAGGGGAAAAAGGTTGTGGCAGAAAGAAAAGGCAGAGGACAGCCAGACAATGCGAAATGCTAATCCAATTGAGTGGCGGCGACTCCTGGCGACTGCTACTCCCCCAGACACTAGACACTGCTGCAATAATCATAAACAGATATTATATTATTTATCTCCGTTAGCTCGTTTTCCTGCCTTATGTATTAATCTCACACACACTAACCCGAAATCCAGCATCGGCTTCTGCCTGGACTCTGCCCATCGCATCTTGGACTCTCTCTGGCTGG